CCGCTGATCTGGGTCGAGGCGGTTGTGGAGCCCCATTCCCGCAGCCGCATCGAGTACATGGTCAAGACCAAGTCGCAGTTTAAGAGCCGCAGTATCGCCAACAACGTCGAGATTGTCATCCCAGTGCCGCCAGATGTCGACAGCCCGTCGTTCAAGTGCAGCATCGGCAGCGTCACGTACGTGCCCGACAGAGATGCGATTGTGTGGACCATCAAACAGTTCAACGGCAGCCGCGAATACCTCATGCGTGCGCATTTCGGGTTGCCGTCCATCTCCAACACCAACACGGTATGTATATATATATACATATTACCCCTCAATACTCACATATATATATATATATGTGGGTGTTGAGAGGTTTGATATTCGTCGTCGTTGTCATTTGAGTATTTGTTATATTATATATATATATGGGTGGGTATTGAGGGATTTGATATTCTCATTTATGTTTGAGTATTTGTTATATAATATATATGTATATATATATGGGTGGGTATTGAGGGATTTGATATTCTCATTTATGTTTGAGTATTTGGTATTGGTACCACCCTGACGACGAATGTGTACTATAGTATTATGAGGTATGTATTATGATTTATATATGTCGTGCTATCATTTTTATTTTCTACTATTTATTATTTCTTTACTGTTACGGTAGGAATGTGTGTTTTGTATCGTTTCTTTTTTCTGGTGTTTACAGCTGTTAGTTGTTGTGACCTATTGTGCCTAGTGTTGGTTTAGTTGGTTTAGTTTTTAATATTATTATCAATAATAATATATATATATATATATGAAAGTGTACTGGACGAATGAATTAAACTGTGTGTGTGTGGTAGGCGGCAACGGACGAGTGGAAGGCACCGATCCAGGTGAAGTTTGAGATTCCGTACTTTACCGTGTCGGGGATCCAAGTTCGGTACCTCAAGATCATTGAAAAGTCGGGGTATCAGGCGCTGCCGTGGGTGCGCTACATCACGCAAAACGGAGACTACCAGCTACGCATGTCGTAACGTGACGACGGTGTTGTGTCCATTCTACACATACATCTGTGGGGAAATGATGAGTGATAGATTTACACCCATACTTACGTACAATTGTATTCCTGTATCCGTTTATAAACAAACGTAGTACATTTTACTGTACTGTACCGCTTGGTTTCACATAAATCTATGTACATGGATAAATCTACTTCAAATATCAGATATAGTAGTAGTATATACTATTAATAGTACGATTATTTTATTAGTACTATTAAAATAGTAGTCCTGTATAGTATTGTGCTTTTCATGTAGTTTGCCCGTTGTTTAAATGCGTTAAACAACCAGACGTTTAAAATAATATAAGCCCTATTGAAGATAAAACAACGCTAAACACAAGTTCTGCATTTCAGCAGAATAAAACAACCCTTACTTTATTTCAGCTGCTAACTAATCGAGTTGCAGCACCAGGCCAACTAAC